GCCATGAAATCCTCCTCATGCTTCGACCTTTCTCATCTCACATTTACACCTTTATATTATCCGCGTGACCTCTCAATGAGGCATTACCGCATCATCAAATGAGAGAGGGGTAAAAAAAAAAAAAAAAAAACCCAAAAGCAGTGAAACTGTGGCTGGTAAAGAATGCTTATAAACCAACGTCATTAAAATGAAAAGCTGTGGCTGCAAAGGTTGATAGGTCAGAGCTTCTCATTACGAGAGATGATGGAGATGGGCAAAAAGGTAGCTCACACATTTACATTCATACACACACATAGTATCAAACTGTATATTACACTTTAAATTTCCTTCAGCTGTTGCCAGGGAAACCTTTCAATTAAATGTTTTTTCTCAGTCATTGTGATACTTTGAAACATGCCTGAAATATTGAAGAACCTCGCTGAGGACAACAAAGTACTAAAACGCAGAGGTGCAATGATAAATACAACACGACTGAGTATTTAGACAACAGGTTGCAGCTGTGGCATGCAAATAAGGCTACGAGAGCTGCGTCTGAAATTCAGCAGACAGAAATTGTGACGCGTAAAGAGTGAGCAAGAACTCCTCGAGGATAGTTCCCTTACGCTCGAGACACATTAAAAACGACAGGCGACGGCGGCTGTGAAACTTATACACAACTGGTGGAAAAACCCCTGGATGCTTTAAACTGAGTGCCTGCGGCATGCAGTTGGCGTTTTGACACCCATCCTAAGTGAGACGGATTACACAGAGCCAGTTTGATTTGAATAACAAGCAATTTACTGGCTCAGATGTGATGCTGCAGAGGTGGAGGTCTCTGGAAGGAAGAGGCCGCAAGCTTCCATTACACCAGGTATTGAGGGTTTAAAACATCCACTTGTGTTTGCCTACCTGTTCCAGCGTTGTCCAGCTGGGGGACGGAGGGGGTGGTGCGTCTGGACCTGGACCAACGCTCTGAGATCCCAGCACAGGTCAAGAGTTGTTGTGGTGACTCTCAGCTCATTGGAGATGTGATGAGAAGCAGTGGAGCCCGTAACTCTTTCATAAGGCACTAAATGAAGGATAAATGGGACAATTAATGGGAGCTTACACAATGAAATAACATCGACGACCTCAACATGTCATAAACTTCACAAAAGTAGCATTTATTGCTTGGCCACTGCGTCTATACTGTAACTGGCATGACGTTGTATTGCAAGGAGCTGTGATTGGGAACATGTGACAACTTGCATTCCTGCATTGCCACACAATTGAAATAGAAATATGGTAACACTCGTGCACTCTCCACACTCAACATACAAATCCAGAGACAGGTTTATGGTTCTCCACATGCTCACATGCATCATTACCACAGTCTGTGTTAGTTTTCTTTGCAGTCACACAATCACAGTTTGTTTGTTTGGTTTAGGATTTTGTTTATTGTCTCATTTTGACACCGTACTGTTTTGCTATTATTCTAAATGAGGCGCGCACATTTGGTTTACATTGTTCTCTCATTATCAGTGTGGATAAGTTGAATGAATTCATTTCTCTTTGTGTTTGAGTTACCTGTCTGCTGCGTCAACCCTCCTTCCTGGTTTGGCCAAAAGAGGGTGGAGCCAGGTTAAATACAGAGGCCCAAGAAATGGACCAGACCAAGGGCTGTATCATCATGGGGGTGATGTTGTTTCTTTCTAGTGAGTTTTAGTTATTATCTGTGTTATTTTCCCCTTTTTGTTCCTAATGAGCTGATCAGCCAGTGTATAACTGTCCCTCCTGTCTAATTTTGTTAAGTCAATTAGTTGTGTTCTGCCCTGTTAGGAGTATTTTTTTTTATTCTTTTTGAGTAGATTTCTGTTTGGATGACCTCTTTTAAAAGCCCTGTTATTTACCAAATTTCTTATTTTCATTCGTCTGTATTTGTGACGTGTTTTTGGGTTGTAAAGTGAACCTGTGCTCACTTGTCCTTTGACTGCTTGGTCCCTAACTGTGCATTTAAATGTGTATTTTGTATTTGTTGGTTATCAGACTTTATGTTTTTTTAACTGCAGGAAGTTATATGGTTGTATGTAAGGTCTGTAAATATCATTCTTTGTTTTCAGGTCTCTGTTGAAAAAGACAAAATGATTTTGATGAAGCTACCTAACCAGCCGCACTAATTTATCCGTCGATGCTCAAACTTTCAAATAAATTGAACCTTGTAACTGCCAGTAGAAGCATCATATCGGGCAAAAATCACACATGATTTGCATTGAACAGCTGAGCTGCAGACACAGTTGCAATCACAAAGAAACTGAAAGGAGAATTTCAATCAAAAAGGATGTCGTAGAGAGTCTATCTGCAATGTCAGATCTCAACATTAAACTGTTATAGGCTGGTTGTGTACCTCTGTAGAGACTTGGTGCAGTAGAAAACACACACACACACCTGAACCCTGGCAAGTGAATCCATAGATGTCAACATGAGCAGGAGGAGACATCTGACAAAGCAGGCGAGGTGTGCCCTCTTGTGGAAAAACATCAACATCACAGTCCACATTTTACACATCAATTCCAACACCTTCATTCATTTCCCAGCTCAGCACCTTAGAAAACAAACAGGGAAAACCTACCACTAAGTTACAAACAGTATTCTCAGTACTCAGTAATAATCCATAAATAAATATAAAAACAGAAGCTTTCAGAACATAGACTTTATTCATTTCATATAAAAATGACACAAAAACTTAAAAAAAAAAAAAAAAAAAGAAAAGTTGAACAGGTGCTTCAGGTAATCTTCACAGGGACATGAGCCAGCCTGCAGCACAGACATGATCTCACTAGGGAACACACCTTCACATTACCACCTCAACATGTTCACATCTCCACTGCCTCTACTTCACATCTAGAGGCAGACCTGTACAGTGAACCACCAGCAGAGGCCGGGGTAAGCCTAGGACAAACCGCACCCTCTGCACTCCTCCTTCACTGCTTTTCCTTTCTTCCTACGTCCCCGACTCCTCCTTACACTCCTCATTTTTTTCCCCCTTTTCCCCTTCATATGGTTTTTTTTTTTTTTTCTTTTTTTTTTTTCTTTTTTTTTTTTCTTTTTTTTTTTTCTTTTTTTTTTTTCTTTTTTTTTTTTCTTTTTTTTTTTTCTTTTTTTTTTTTCTTTTTTTTTTTTTTTTTTTACCCCCAAACTTCATTCTGACCCTTCATGTCCCTGAGCCCACCTCCTCTGATTGGTTCCAGACGTGCCACTGAGCTCTTCTTGCCGACTCAACATTCCACAGCTGGAGACTGCGCACACGCACACACACACACACACACACACACACACACACACACACACACTCCTATTTACTCCCTCTCCTCCTACCTTCCCCCTCTATCTTAGTCCAACTCACGGAGCAAAAAAAAAAAAAAAAAAAAAAAAAAAAAAAGCAGTTTTTTTTTTCACAGCAGCTCAGTGAAACACCAAAAGCCTCAGACTGAAACGGCTCCAAAGCATTCCTCTCTGAGCAGGACAGAAATGCACTCAGAGGCAAGAGCTGAAGGAAAAAGAAAAACGTTAGAGGAGGCAAATGAAAAATCTGGTCATTATTATGCACAAATGTGAAATCTTACAAAAAAAACAAAAAAAACAAAAAAAAACCGGCAGGTTTTCTCCTACGAAAGAGTGAATTCAGTTTTAAAACATTTTTTGGCTCTCATATATACAACACTGTCATTCACATGAGGGATGTTTTCCTTAGTGGGGCAATGAGAGGTTCAAGTGTTGGCAATTATCCCATAAAAGTAGGAAAGTTTCCAAATGTCCTTTACCAGTTAAAACACATAATGAAACCTGCATCATTAAAAAAAGACAAGATGAGAGAAAAATACCCTGGTGATAAAACTTACAGGGAAGTTAATTGTGGTCCATAAAAATGATGAATCAGACAAATATCAAATTGCAAACCCTTTTTTCACGGCGCATACAAAGAAAATGACTGTCCTTAAAAAATGCTGAATCAGCTCCAGATGGTGGCATGAGGAGCCAAAAGAAACAAAAGTTAGGAATCACAGAGCAGCGACTGCATCTTAAGGATAATGACTAAATGCAAAGGCAAGCACATGACTAAGATTGATTTAGATCAAGATAATAGTAGAAAGTGCCAGAATGTACACAGAGCCATACAAGCTCATTGGATGACAAACCTCAAGTCCTGCTGTACCAAAAAGACAATGGAGTCTATTTAAAGACCAGCTTTCAACACTAGGTTCTACTTATGTGCACAGTTTTAGTGTACTGCCCTCAGACGGTTTGAGGTCACTGGTCCCTGTCACCTTCCACACATTTCACATTTGGACTTCTCACCCCCCCTCCGCTCGTCCGACAGCTGGTGCTGACGTGTCAGATCAGAGAGGAGGAGAGAGGCAGGCTCACAAAAAGCACACATGCATCATCAGTAACAGTTTTCTGCAGCTGCACAGATAATGACAAAACTCAATGGGAAGGACGTGAACGCAGTAATAAAAACAATAAAAAAAGACACCTCACGGTCGGATTAATACTGTCATGGCAAAGAAAATCACAAAACCGAAAAAATGAATTTGGTCCTGAAGAAGACTGACTGTGTATGTAGAGGACAGAGACAAATGGTTTTAGTTAAAAGTTGATCTGTGGCTGTGATTGTCAGTTTTTTTTTTTTTTGCTTTATAAGTCTCTCAATCAAAATGGGAACAATGAAGGAAATATACACCAAGCAAAAATTTACTTTGGCACCAGGGAAGACAATGAGGAGTCATTTCATGAAACCGATTTTATGCTGAACTTTTCCAGCTGCGATAAAACTAAACTCCCAGTAGATCCATCTATGGCCTTCATGGATGCTTTCAGGGAAATGCTGTACATATGGAATGATCCGATTTGCCTGGAGAGAAATTTGTACAACTGTTAAGTCTTGGCAAAAGAGGTTTGAAAAAGCGGGGGATTCAATTTAAGAACTAAATATCTGCTGCGCTCTACACAGCCCTTCAGCACTTTAAAAATCTTTTTTTTTTTTTTGGTTTCAAAAGAGACAGCTACAAAAAAAAAACATAAATGCCACAATGTGTTTCTGAGCCAGCACACTGAAATCAGCCTCTCCGGTGTCAGGTCGGGTCCAGTCTTGGGATGGTCAGCGCGTCTGTCCAGATGCAGCTCTGCTACTCTGGCTGCTCGTTCAGCTCCATGTCGGACACCAGGATGTTCTTCTCGGTTTGCTCGGTAAGGCTGGAGTTGGTGCGGCTGTAGCGGGCTCCTTCGTAGGACCCCCGTGACCCAACAGTTCGCCGACGGTACAAGTAGATCACGCCGACGATCAGCACCACCAGCACCAGGCCCGTCACAATGACGACAATCAGGGTTGGTAGATGGTCGCCATCCACTAGTCGTAGACAGAAGATAGAAATCTTGATTAGCATACATGCAGCTGATTCACTTTTGTGGTAAACATACATGATACGTTTTAAGTGCACACATTAACATGGCAGCTGATAATCACACTTACATGTTACAGCTGAAGTTTCAGCACCTGCAAACAGAAGAAGGGAGAGTGAATTAATTGCTTTTAATTGTACTTCCATTTCTCTAAACATTACAATCCAGTCAAGGTTTTTCACTTCTCTATAAGCCAACATGGATCATTATCCTCAATGAACATTGTCAGCATATATGAAACCTTGAAAACAATTAAATTTTCTCTAGTTTCGTTGCTGAATAGTTTGTACTCAAACTCAACAGACTCAATTCAAATGACTTGTGTGTGCTTACTGCGTGGCTGTTTGCAGATGACTCCGTGTGTGCGGTTTCTGCAGGAGCCCGGCTTCCACAGGCCGGTGTTGCTCTGGATCCAGAAGCAGGAATTAGGAGACAGAACAGAGAAGGCGAGGTCGTGCGCTTCCCAGTTGGTGTATGACATCTCTGTTTCCTCACTCCACACTAGACCTCTACCTGCAGCGGGAAAACAAGCACACACAGTCAGAGAAGTAAACAGTCTCTAGCAGGGTTTGAATTAGGTTGGATTGGGTAGGTCTGAGCCCCCTTGATTCAGACTTGGACCCCCCCAAAAGAGGTAAAAACAACAGTTTGAGGGGTTGAAACATTGATACATTTTTCTGACCCAGAATTGTTAATATTACAATATATTTCCCATATTCATGCCTGAAAGAATCTTCTCATACAATTTCCGACACCTCTGAAGTGGACCATACCATTTCTTAACCTTGACGTTAGTTGAACGCGCATGTTCTCAAATCTCAGTCAACATGCATAGAGCAGAGACTAGACAGTAGCAGTAGCTTACTATCTAGTTTGTTTAATACACTTTACTTACTCTTAATTAGTTTCTGAATTAGATTGTGTTAAGGATCTACAGATAAAAGCTAATGTTAGCTAGCTTCTAACTTTAACCTAAAGTTACAGTTCAGCTAACTAATGTTAGCTAGCTGAAAGCGCACCCTTTCATTTCCAATGTTGGTTTGGCGTTCCATTACCAATATAAAAATGTCATATATGATCTAATCAGTCATGAGCAGTGAGACAATGGATGATTAGTTGTTGTACACGCTGATTTTAACATAGAATTTATCAGTCTATCATAGAGTTTCATCATAGCATGTTCTCTGTTGAGTCTTAGAGGTTTCCAATTTAAGATTTACTTCTTCCTCTTACCTAACCAGGTATGTTTCAGGGCATTTCACTCAAATTACGTAATAGCGTGATAATAATGCTGTTAAATACATTTTTCCAAGATACTGCACCATTTATTTGACATGAGAGAAACAATCTAACTCAGGTTTCCTCTCCTTAATTAATTCTTTCATGATTATTCTATTAAAAAAATCATAATCAATCAGGTTAAACGTATTAAATTAGGAAAATTATCTGCAAGCAGAGCAAGATAATTTTACTAAAAGTGGCATCAAATTATTAAGTTTGGATTTAACTTTTGAAAAGTTCAAGGTTAGTAAGTCTGCTGCTGTGGAGAGAGATGGGAAGGACTGTGTGTGTGTGTGTGTGTGTGTGTGTGTGTGTGTGTGTGTGTGTGTATGCGTGTGTGTGTGCGTGCGTGCATGCGTGCGTGCGTGTGTGCGTGTGTGCGAGAGAGAGGCTGGACCTTTCACACTGATGCCCAGCCAAGCTCCATGTGCCTGTTCTGCATAGCTCTGGATGTGCTCCCACACAAATCCGTTCTCAGTCTCATCCAAGATAGAGAGAAGTTCTGCTCCCACTAGAGGAGAGAAAAAGAGAGAAACAGACAGAGATGGAACAAAACAGGATTGATCATGTAGCGAGATTCAGCAATGGTGCAGCAGGCTCAATGAAACACTTCTAAATTTAGACATATTGATGCATTTGGTCAATTGTGTTTGCAGTCGAGAAGGTCAGAAGTGTTTCAATTGGTTTTCAATTCAGTGTCATGAGCTGTACGGGCAGCACAGCAGGAGTATCAGCACAGACTGACCAGTGTAGGTGTGTGTACCTTTTTTACAGGACATGCGTGCATCTTGCTGCAGTTTAAGACTTTGCAGGTTGAAGGTGTAACAGTGGTTTCTGAAAGGCACCCACGACCACTCTCCCAGAGAGTGGGGGCAGATGCCAGGGTAGCTCCACTGGTGACCCACAGGCTCATCTGGCAGGGAGAAAAACAACAGGGATTAACTCATTTTAATATAACCCCAAGATGAAACAGGGAAAATTAATGAGGGAATATTAATAAAAAGTTTAGGATTTTACAAGGTGTTTGTACACACCACAGCATTCTGCATGTGAATAACCGTCTAGTGAACATACAAACATGCTGTATATCGCTATTATACTGCACACACATACCACTAATCTGACAGATAGCAGCCTCCAGTTTAGCATCACAGGGCGTCATAGTCCACTGCCCAGTAGTGGTCATGTGACCGCATCCAGCCATCTGATTGGGCTCCCCATCTTTCCAGTTTGAATATGACACTTCCTCTTCTCCTAGCCAGGTGAAGCTCCGTCCCTGAAAACATGATAAAAATAATAAGTTGCACATCACTGCCTGATGTAGCCTGGAAAACACTGTTGTATTGTCACTGTTGTGATTCTAGTGATGAATTAAAGGTCCTATATTTTACACTTTCCCTGTGTTTTTCCTTGAAGTGGTGATCCATACAAAACATATATTTGTTGTTTTAAGAACCAAAAACCGTCAGTGTAGTTTTACATCTTCTCTCTCAGGCTTCTCTTGGGAGCTCTAGTAACAACAGGTCGGTGGTCTGACTGGTTTCTGAATTATCTAACAAAAATATAGTAGATTTCAGGTAAACACACTGAGAAACCAAATCCTGCAAGGTTGGATGGTGGGTCCAGGTGGGCGGGGCTTCGAGCATGTGTGAGAGCCGTGACTGCTTTGTTATGAATTCACAAAGTTACAGAAGTCCTGACAGCTCGTTTTAAGGGCTCAGTTTCTGAATACATTTCTCTGAGGACTGAGCGCTTTGATACTTTCACAGTATTAATATCAAACCTAGACCTCCTTTATAATCAAAAAAGACATGGACATCTACCTTTATACAGTATGGGACCTTTAAAAAAAAGCTATTCTGTAAGTTAATAGGCTCACTCCGTAGTTGTAGAGAGCAATCCAGGCTGGCCGGTGCAGGCTGTTGATCAGCAGCGTGAGGTACGCCTGCTGGTAGGGATCCTTCACTGTGGCTAGAGTCCCATTCAAAGATTCGCACAGGTGCAGAGCGCCAGTCCAGTCCAGGCGCTTCTCCACCACCCGGTACGTCACTCCACCAAGATCCAGAGGCTTTGACAGGGAGGCAGGAATCAGGGTGGGTGCTGGGGGGAGACCTTGGTCTGACAACACAACAAATATTTAATCTAAGTCAACACACTACTGTTTGTGGTGCAAGAGATCTCCACTTTTAAAGCACACATTGTTGTGGTTGTAATTGAATGTCGCACCTTGATGCCTTTGACAAATGAAGCCATTGCTTTCCATCTCACAGGCACGGGAAGCCCACATGCCGGTATTCTTCTGTGGGTTCCCATGAATCATCACCACACAGTTTCCCTGAGAGGTGACAGTGACATCATCAGAACAGGAAGAAGATCGAGGACAACACCATGACATGAGTGGCGATTGGTGGGTGTTGTGAGTACCCGGGTCTTGTTGTGGTGTGGTCCGCTGTTGTCGAGTGGCTCTCCAGGGGCCCAGTTGGTGTAACTGAGCAGGCTAGTCTTGGCCCACTGGAAATGACCTTTAGAGTCTGAGGTCAAACCCATCCAAAGGTCAACACTGGCATTGTTGAGCAGGGTGGTGACAAAGGCTGTGAGGAGGAGAATCCATTGCATGACAGAGTGCATGTGGGTTGAGAGACGTATCAATATCAATAGGCAATCAATTCCTATGAAAATAAAATGTAGTATAACACACTACTTCCATCTGATGCTGCTTACAGGGACAGATAAAACAAATTTACCTTCTAAATATAATTAGACCTAAAAAAAAATTTAAAAAAAGCAATCTACATTCAAGTGGAAAAGTAACTTCACAAACTTAAATTGGGTCAACCCTCAACCCTCCACCCTCCACCCCCCCTCTGCTTGTGACTGTATGCCAGCTGTAATCTGCTGTAATTACCTTGCTCCAGATGATTGGACACCACTGCCAGTACACCTCCCTGTGTCTCACATTTCAACTTGGATGCAGACCATGTGACCCGGTATGACTGATCAAACACCCTGAAACACTGCAGAAACAGCAGCACGGCACAGGTTAGGTTTGATCAGGTTGAGTTAAGACAGCAAAGGTTGCATGAAATAAAACCTTAGGTACTTACTGTTCAGTTCAGTCACTGCCTGTCTGGAACTGTTTATTTATTTGATGCACTTATAAAAACTAACATGTTAAATACACTATAAAAATCCTGGAGCGTTGTAGCTCTACCTTATGCTGATAGGAAGCCCATCCATCTGGACAGCCTGCAGGTGGGTGGGGGGAGGATGGTGTTGGAGGAATGGTCCCTGTGACATTCACTCTCTTGCAGATGTAGGGCAGGTCAGAGTGGCATTTTTGATCAGCCCAGTCCGCTGTTTGGAAGTAAAAAACACCAAGCTCACATAAGTGCACTGCATTTGATTTAGTCTCTTGCGGCTGTCTTATCCCGGCTCTTTTCACCTTTGCTGGCGGACATCTGGACACATTTGCGATCACGGCTGAGTGGGTGGGGCCTCCCAAGAGCCCAGGACACGTAATTGAGCACAGAGTGGTCAGACCAGCGGAAACGGCCGTCGTTATCGTAGGTATGAAGCCCCAGCCACCAGTTGTCACCTTCCACTTTCTCCATCTGAACGTGGGAGGGTAACAGAACGAAAAAGCCTGTCATGACTACAGAGTCCTTTAAACATACAAGGCTTCTCTATAGAAAAGTAATACTTCAGATTTGTACCAAAGCGTCACTGTAAATACACAGTTACACAATCCTAGACTGGAGTTACACAGCTTGGTTGCTATGCAGAACACAGACGCCACAATTAGTGGTGACTTTCACATACAAGTTTGTGCTTGTTGGGTATACTTCATGGCTTTCCCCAGATGAAGCTGGGCTGCTCGTTAAGACCATCGTAATCAATTGCATTTTTGGATTAAATCATTTTGATAAAGTGTTCAGTGCCTTGCGTAAAGTGTTGGCCAGGAAAGCCTCTTCCTCAGCTGAGTGGACGGAAGCCAGCGAAGACTCAAACCACGAGCAAATCCTCTGGGCCTGGTCCCAAGTGGTGCGGTGGTCAAAAAATTTATACTCAGCCTCCTGGAAGGCAATCCACTCTGGTGAACTGGTTCCTGACCAACCATGGTGAGACATAAAAGGAAGGTTTTAATATATACACTCAGGAGATAATTTCAGTGTGTTGAGAGGTAAAGCTGAAAGCTAGGAAAATAACACTGACCTTCAGAGACCTCTGGTTCCTTCTCAACACTACCTAAAAAACACATAAACAAGGTAAAGGTGTATTAATGACATATAAATGCCCCAAACATGAGATGTAGGTGGAAAAAGCACAAATTAGAAAATCAAAAACAGATGTAGAATTTAAGTATGTCCAGGACTAATGTACCAATCCAACCCACAGAACCTTTTAACACAGCCCAAAGAAACGGTCCAGTGCAGTTGTACCTCTGGGGATCTTGCAGATCCAGTCTAACTCAGACTCGCAGTGCATGGCCAGCCAGGTCATAGTGCCCAAGTCTGCTGCAGCACACTGCCGAATGTTGTAGTAGTAGCGGCCAAAGTTCTGGTACGTGAACTGAGACACAAACAAAGATGAACAGATTCTGTTTCAAGCATTTTTGAAATTCAGAATCAGCTGGTACACAGTTAAGTTTTTAACTTTTTGGACCAGGTATCATTTTCATTACTCACAGCCAGTCCGTCACTCCACTTCCAGCTGCCACCATTGTCCATCGGGTTCCTGCGGTTCAGTCCAATCCAAAACCAGTGCTGCTCATGGTCCTCAGATTCCCTGTGGAACACATCATCATCATCATCATCATCATCATCATCATCATCATCATCATCATCATCATCATCATCATCATCATCACCATCACCATCATCACTATCATCACAGTCATCATCATCATCATCATCACTATCATCATGGTCATCATCATCATCATCATCACCACTATCATCACTATCATCATCATCATCATCACCATAACTATAACCATAACCATCATCATCATCATCATCATCATCATCATCACCACTATCATCACTATCATCATCATCATCATCACCACTATCATCACTATCATCATCATCATCATCACCACTATCATCACTATCATCATCATCATCATCACCACTATCATCACTATCATCATCATCATCATCACCACTATCATCACTATCATCATCATCATCATCACCACTATCATCACTATCATCATCATCATCATCACCACTATCATCACTATCATCATCATCATCATCACCACTATCATCACTATCATCATCATCATCATCACCACTATCATCACTATCATCATCATCATCATCACCACTATCATCACTATCATCATCATCATCATCACCACTATCATCACTATCATCATCATCATCATCACCACTATCATCACTATCATCATCATCATCATCACCACTATCATCACTATCATCATCATCATCATCACCACTATCATCACTATCATCATCATCATCATCACCACTATCATCACTATCATCATCATCATCATCACCACTATCATCACTATCATCATCATCATCATCACCACTATCATCACTATCATCATCATCATCATCCCCATAACTATAACCATAACCATCATCAGTATCATCATCACCATAACTATAACCATAACCATCATCATCACCACATATCAGCTGGTCAGAGGTGCACACCTACCCGAAGGCCTCATGGAGGATCTGCAGAATAAAGTGCTCCTCGTCAGGGCCACTGATGCTCAGCAGGTTGGCTCCATGTTTCTGGCAGAACAGGTGAGCCTGCAGCCAGCTCAGCTTCTGCTCCAGCTGGGGGAAATGAAACACCTGCACACAGGTAGTGCTGACATGTAATTATAGTCTAATTACAAATGGTGTAAAGCAAGCAGTCCTAGCATTACTATTACTGCTGTTCCAACCATTAGTAATAAAAAATGAGCATTCCTACTTTTTTTTTTTAGGAATTACCATTCCTGAAATCTATCCAGAACTAAAAGATGGCAAAATTCTCCTACTGCTTAAGCCAAATAAAACATAAAAATACCCACTGATTATCTGTAAAAATGTATCGCAACAAGGCTGAAAACAGGACGCTTAGGTCATGAAAAGTTCACATAAGAAGGCACAGGACAGCGAAGTAAAGGATGACTGAAGTTAAAAAGACACTTCCAGCAGAGTGCTGATGGTGTGAAATGTTTCTGGGATGAACCTTGTAGCAGTAGCGTAGGTTACTGTTGCTCTTCCAGCCAGTGGGACAGGAGCCGCTGAGACTCGGGGTGGGCTGAGGGACTGGGGGCTCGGGGCTCAGAGACGTGTCCTGGTTCTGTCGGCAAATGAATTTCGCCTTCGATGACGCACACTCCCTCACCTCCCACAGACCTGTTGCGAAGCCTGTCACCATGGAAACACAGCCGCCGTGGACGTTGACTGAAATAGATACAGGGTGAAACGTAGGTGAGCGGAGAGAGAGAGAGAGAGAGAGAGAGAGAGAGAGAGAGAGAGAGAGAGAGAGAGGCTGCACTGATGAAATGTGTGGAAATAGATGATGATGATGATGTGGAGGAAGAGAAATGACTGCCCGGGCTCTATTCCTCGAAACTGCCTTATGTATCATAGTTTCAAAAAATGTGTGTGTGTACTCCAGTGGAGGCTGGTGTGATGGACTCATTTTATTTCACTATATAAAAGATTTACAGATGAGATTTATAAAATGCTGCATGTAAGACCTTTAGATTCTTTTGTCCTTTTTTTCTTCTTCCCCCTGAAACTTTTGGGAGGATTATGAGTATGAGTACTAACAAGTGTCAATACTTGAAATAATGTCATATGACAAAAACCTTCAGAAAAAGTTAAAAAATGTCAGTCTTTAACCAGCCAACCCAACTAAAGTAAGATACTAGAGCCATAATCCGTGCAGAGGTCAGGCAGTCCATATCTTTGGATCTATCGAGCCACAGGACTCGCCCCCACAACTGGGTTTTGAATATGTCTGAAGGTCTGGTTTAGAAATTATGGCTACTGTGAATCCAAAATCCACAATAGCCTACATTTCAAAAAGGAGAATCCTCCTGTTTGGGGCTTCATTCCTGTGCTGCTGCCGTGACAGTTTGTTGGAAGACAAAACTATGACAGTTCCAGTTACCATTTCCTCAACAGGTCTAATTTTGATTCATTAAGTAAAAAATCAGAACATACGTCTGTTGTCTGGTTTTGACTGCTGCTGATAATTTTCTTAGGTAGTCAGATTGTCAGCCAGTCAAAGATCTTCTTTTCAGATTAAATCCAAAACTGGCTCTGGTTCAGAATGCAACTCATGATTTGGCCAATTGAAAATCTCAAGCTATAGATTAGATGAAACTTTAATAATCCCCTCAGGGAAGTGAACTCATCATGGCAACAAGGACAAAGACATGGATACACAATGGAGGGAAGACACTGTAACAACCAATAAATAAAACACAATAAAAACGCTGCAAAAGATATAAAAGAGTAGAGCAGAATCAGGTAGACCAAAATAAAAACCTTATGTACTTATGCAGTTTGAGCTCCAGGTGGTATTAAATCTGATTTCTCTTTCATTCAATAATTTACATCCTTAAAACTGACAAACCACAAACATGACAATCTATTTTTTTTTTTTCTACCAATAAGTTACTTTCGTTCATTCACTAACTCATTTCAACATGACGTGTCATGACCTACTTGGCTGGTCTCGATTCCAGTTGGTGTAGGACACTTCATCGCCGCTGAGCCACTGGAAAGAGCCGGGGTTGTTCTGCTCGCGGAGGCCGATCCAGAAGGAATCTCCAGAGCGACCGAACAACAGGCTGTTGGCGAAAGCCTGCTCGAACCTGTGAAGGTTTAAAGAGGCTTATAGGAGCGGTAGCAGTGACCGAACATGCTGTCATGTCTTTGAATTGCTGCAAGGGAACAGTTGTGAATGTGTGTGTGTGTGAAGGTATGTGTATGTTGCTGCGCATTACCTATTTGTAATGGTAACAAGGGCGGCTCCATGGTCCTCACAGGATTTCTTGGCCTCATCAAAGGTGAGCAGATCTTCTCCCACCCAGTAACAAGCTGGACTGTGCCATTTCCAACCCTGAGAGGAGAGAAGAAGAGAGGGGAGGAGAGGAGGAGAAGAGAAGACAAGAAAGGAGAAGAGAAGAAGAGAAGAGAAGAAAGGAGAAGAGCAGACAAGAAAGGAGAAGAGAAGACAAGAAAGGAGAAGAGAAGGCAAGAGAAGAAAGGAGAAGAGCAGACAAGAAAGGAGAAGAGAAGACAAGAAAGGAGAAGAGAAGAGAGGAGAAGACAAGGAGAAGAGAAGAGAAGAAAGGAGAAGAGCAGACAAGAAAGGAGAAGAGAATAGAAGAAAGGAGAGGAGAAGAGAAGACAAGAAAGGAGAAGAGAAGAGAAGAAAGGAGAAGAGCAGACAAGAAAGGAGAAGAGAATAGAAGAAAGGAGAGGAGAAGAGAAGACAAGAAAGGAGAAGAGAAGAGAAGAGAAGAAAGGAGAAGAGAAGACAAGAAAGGAGAAGAGAAGAGAAGAAAGGAGAAGAGAAGACAAGAAAAAGGAGAAGAGAAGAGAAGGAGATGAAAAAAACCCCAAAATAAAAAGAAACCTATGAAAGAGTGGAAACTTCTACCGAGGCTGAGCAACTCTTTAAACTTTCAAATTCAATCATTTGAAATCCGGATCCGTATGTGCATCAAAATACACATGAAAACATGCTGATGCAGATTGTCAGATAAGGCTTTGTGTATGGAGGGACAGCGCAAAATTTGAAGTGAGTCAGACTCATGACTACTGGGTTAAACTGTGAAAATGTTTCAGTAACACTGCTCGCTTAGGCCAACAACAAACTGGAACAGTTCAAGGAAAATAGAGCATCAAATAACACAGAACTTTTTTTCGGGCGGAGGCATTATTCGTTCCACTTCAAACAGTAATCACTTTATTCCCTTGCCCTTAAACTTCCACTAAATTTCAGTCGCATCTGTGAAGTACTTTTAAACATATTCTACTAACTAGCACAGACAAACAAGACCTGAAACTCCCTCGCAGAGGTATCTCAGAAAACAATCTATCAGTCAAAACAGAAAGAAGTCCGACTTTATCCCAGAGGGCAGAATAAAAAAAGAATCTATGCATGCAGAAGTAACTTTTCCTTGGCTTCAGTCCCTGCTGCCAGCTCATGTAGCGTAGTTGCGGATGTGTACAGACGCAGAGAGCAGCCAAATCACACAGGGTCAAGAGGGGCGAGATATTGCGCAAAAAATGACAAGTGCGAGACAGTTTGTATACAGCTCTGTGTGAATGAGCTCAACCTCTGGCTTTTTGCGCAACCACGTTTGGCATCGACGACGGAAACCAAAGCGATTAAACATGTAGGAGAGGCTAGATCCGTTGAAACTCACATCTCCTTAACATTCGTCTTTATTTTCTGTCTTACAGTCAAAACATCAAGCATCTGCTGACTGACAGCTTATTACCATAACGTGACAATAATAGAATTATTTCTCCTTGTGTGTGGTAATGTTATCAACACCTGATTTCACCAGTATGACTATTCAACCACATACCCTCAATTTGCGTTTGTCAGAATCATCTGAAAACAAGTCTATTGTCATCGTATTTTACGTCTCTCTTGGTCAGATCAGTTGGTACGCACCAAACTCGGTCACATGATCGGCTAATACTCCTTGTACCCAAGGTAAACTCTGAATTTGGGAAGACTGTATTTGGAGCCAATGCCCCAGACACATGGAAAAAGCTACAGAGCAAAAATGGATAGTTTTATAAGCTATCCACTTTTTAGGAACAACATCATAAACCTTCCCAAAACAGCATGCAGTTGTTTCAGCTGATGAGACTGTGTTTTATAATCTTGGCATCTTATATGTTTAAAATTTTCCTTGTGTATTATTTATATTACAATTTTGTAATTTCGCTGTTTGTTATTTAAATTGTGTTGTAAAGTCTTTTTGGACTATCTGTTCATGAATTGTTTTGGTTTTTTCTCTTGGAAATGAGATTTCTATCTCAATGGGATTCACCGGAGTAAATAAAAGTTAAATGGATATACTGAGTTTTCATAGTGGAAATATTCCCACACTTGAAGCTTCTTCTTTTGTATTAGCAAATCAGCCTCGTCTTTCCTCTAGAAAGTGCCTCCAAAATTTGTAATTTCCAATCCAAAAAACATCTGAACATCTGGCGTATCTCTATCTTCAAACAGTTAAATAATCACAAAAATGAAGACAGGATCCCAGAGAGTTCACATTTTCAATTATTTCAGCCCACACCCCCCTTGTGGCTGAGGGGCCTCAGCAGCTGCTTACACCCGAGGCTGCCTCTGACATTAGCAATCAGTGCTTTCTCATCCCGCTGTTTAATCACACATGAAGCAACCGATCACTATCTTTGGAAAGAGAAAGCAAAGAAAGTAGAGGGTGTGAGGAGTTGCTGCTCCAGTGAGTGAGTAAAATGGCAACATTACAGTAATGAGCAATCCATTATGTTTTCTTGAGAGATGAGCTCAGCGCCGGATGGGGTAAATGGTTCGGGGGGATTCGTGTGGTGTAACGTTGCTGAAACGGTCAGCGGGCTCTCTGACGCTGTTGTTTCACATGTTGCGTGAGAGTGAGATCATCTGCTCGAAACAAAGCCGCGCTGCCACGGGGGCCCTGCAGCGTGTGCCAGGCCAAATGACCCCTGACACATTACCACCCATAATGCCTCCTCCCTCCTCCCACCTCCCACGGAGACGGGCTGAGATTCATTACACCAAACAAATGGTCCGTCCATACAGAGACGTTTGTTGAATGTAACAGCTGAGAACCAGCAAGACCCTCCACTTCAGATCATTTGCATCGTAAATCAACGCACACGCAAAAATATAGCGCTGCTGAGGGGCACAGAGGCATACAGACACACACTATGATAATCCCCTGTGTCACACCCACTGTATATTTTCAGCAATGGTCAGGTAGGGACAGGTCAGGTATGAGAGGCTGTGTGGTTTCATATGGAGAGAATTATGAAGTGTGAAATCAAAGATCTGTGGATGGACCTTCCAGATGTGATTCAATTCCACATGTGGGTACGAGCATCGGGCGTGACATCGCATATTAATGCTGTTTGGACTGTGTGCACTTGCTGAATGAAGATTAGAAAACATAATGTATGTTGTGTTTACCTTGTTTTGGCCTTGGAAAACTATGTGTTAAGCCAAAAGGGAGAGAGTGTGTGTGTGTGTGTGTGTGTGTGTGTCCAGAGCTGAGTTCGTCTGGTGTGCCTGTTCAGCTTCCAAGTGTTCAGGGAGTGATTTATATTACAGTTACAGACTGGAGGCGGACTAGTGGACCAGTGGAGGGGTGAGCGATGAAGGGGAGCTCTGGGAAAAGGGGGACAAAGATGAAGGAATGGCTGAAATATTTAGAATAATAATTATGCTTCCTGTAACACTACAGACCGTCAGCAGCCGGAGTAAGAGCACTGAAATGCAGCAGGAGATTTGAATATGAGTCTTTATGGCGTAAAAAAGGTCAAGGGAAAAATGAGGCACCGAATGCACCGAGAGAAAAGGAGTAATACTTGTTTGCAGTCTTGGTGCTGTGGCTTCCCGACACTCTTTGTTCCTGGTTTCTTACAGATGGAGGGCAGGGTCATATTGCAAGGGCTGTCGTCCCAGCGGCCCTCCTGCACATGTAAAGCAAGGCACAAACAGACAGAGAGAGAGAGCACAGCTGTTAAATATATACAAATGGAGGAGAATCGTTGACAGTGAGAGTCCTTTACTGTGAGGTGAATGAGGCCCTGGCAAGGCTCCTCGGGGTTATTGTCAGCTCAGGAGGGGGGGGGGCGGGGGGGGGGGGGGGGGGTTCACTCACAGATCCCCAGATGGAGACGCAATCTTCTTGGGTGTTGCGGAAGTTATTGGGTTCAAAGGGGTGCCAGTAGGTGAAGATGACGGGTGTGTGGTCGGTCCACTGGAAGTCCATTTGCATGTCAGTGTCATGGAGCCCTATCCATAGTTGGTCGATGTCTGAGAGAGGACACAGATTGGACAGTCGGGTTAGGAGGACAAGAAAGAAACAGTATCCAACTATGACCTTCATATAAAATTCTCACATTTTCCATCAGGTTCAATAATTAAGCTGGAGCTGGATCCATGACCTAAAAATTTGTTTCCTCACTTCATGTGCTGTTTTTCAGCTCAGGAAAAGTCTGGTTTCCACTACAGCTGAGCTTGATGTGAAGATATGGGCAAATAATGTAATGTAGGAAAACAGCTGGAACCAATCACTTAATACAGTTAATATTTATCTAAATCAGTAAACATATCCAAATCTATCAGGAAGCTTTTTTAATTCCATTTTTTTGATATTGCACAGCTGAAAAATTGGTGTGTTTGTTCCACTGAGCTTCATGTACAAACTGAACAAGGGAATTTAAAGAGCGCTGTGGTAGATTTGAGTGTGTGAACTCTTTGTGAACCCGCTGCACTTCAAAATCAGTTACATGCACTCCTGTTCTTTCTTTTTGTTCTTGGTTGAGCGTGATGTTTTCTTTTTTCCTCTACATTTATACAGAAAAACATCAAAATCCCCGTCGAGAGTATATCTGAGAAAATGTACATTCATTTATTCCTTTGATTCAACGATGAGTGGGAACCCCAGAGGCACAGGAAAAGAAAGCAGGTTAACAGAAGGCCAGTTTAAGGTTGAAATACGAGTTTGATGTGTCAGGAACAATGATTAAACAAAGACAAAGTGAATGATGAATATGATTTGTGAGGGTTTCGTTTCATTTCTGGCTCCTGACAGCAGTGCAATTCAGAGGGAAAGTTACAGAACTATGAAAAAAAAAAAAGAATAAATCACCTCTCTTCAAGTTGCGCAGGATGAACTCCAGCTCAGGCAGGGTGTGGATGCTGATCAGGTTGGCTTCCATCTTCTGACAGGTTTTCTGAGCTGTATCCCAATCAAACTTCTCTGAAGTCAGCTTGTAGCAGCCAGCCTGGAAGGCCTGCCAGCCCACATCACACTCATACTTCTCATCATCTGCCCACGAGTCTGTGGGAGCAAAAAGACAACAAAACCCTGTGGCACGACTGTAACTGCTGTATTTCCCTTTGATGGACTAAGGCCTGTACACTGACCTGTAGTGAAGGGGTCCAGGGTGGCATTGGGCCTCTTCTTACAGACATATGGCAGAGCAACAGAACAATCGCGGTTCTGCCAACGACCCGATGACTCAGTCCTGATCACGGCGCAGTTCTCCTCCTCAGCGTGGTTTGGCTGGTCTGAGGATGACAGTAAGAAATGTAAACCTCTACAGAACATCACTAATGTCAAGACGCCCTTGTTCAAGGCACTTAACCCCTCAAATATTCTGGTGGTCAACAGTAAAAGACTGTGGCTGCACTGGACGGCCGCCAAGTGTGTGTTTGAACTCCGAGCAGAGCGTTGCTAAAAATGAAGAAAGCGTGCTCATTCAGCCTTCTGTGGGAAATAAAAAAAATATCATGCTTCAAGTTTATAAAAGAAAGGGGGGAAGGTTGATTTGGCTTTACAGGCTAACCTTGCTCCCAGTTGAGATATTTAAGAGGCGAGGAGTCGGCCCACTGCCAGCCTCCGTTGATGTCCAGGTCATTGAGGCCGATCCACAAAGAAGCACTGTAGCCAGTCAGTAAACCTGAAACAGCAGCACAACACCTTCCTCAGATGCTATAAAACATGACATGAGCAAAGTCAGTCGGCTTTCTCTGTGTACAACACAAGGAAACACTCGATACCGTGCCTCCACTTACACCTCACAGCCTCTCCGGTCAGCCATGATTTGAACTGTCAACACGCGACTGGGTAAATGGCAGAATAGTTGTGTATGAATTGCCTAAGTGTGGCCTGATATTGGCAGCAGGGGCACAACACCCCAGAAAATCAATTATTCCTGTTGGGAGAGTGAATGAGCAAACCAAACAGTCTGTGTTTGTCAGTAAGGCATTATGCTGCACAGCACATTTCAGTGCTATTGATTTTTCTTTTCTTTTTTTATTCGTCATAGGTAAGCTAAGAAACAAAGACTGTGACAGACATGGTAACATAGCCTCCTTTTAAAAGGTGTTATTGTGGAGTTTACTAAAGCCACTGTTTCTGACATGAGAGCTAAGGCTGAATTTGAACCTATGAGACGAGTGTGAAAATCAAGCAACAACCTCCTGCTTTTGAGTTTTTTTGAATGTCATATTGCACCGCAGGAAAAAAGCAAAATCAAGCAGCAACCTCCAGCGCTGAAAAACCAAGCCGACACTGAAGTAACAAAAAACTGCAGTTCCTCGAATGGCCACTTGAGTCTGGCTCCAAAGATGAGTCAATCCTCATAGCCCCTGTGTTAAAATGTCCAACTTCACAGCAGAAATAAACATGTTTACAGCCGGTTACAGGTAACAGTTTAAACCTTCATAAAAATATAAACAGGTTAGTTAAAAATCCATCCTCCTCGTACAGTTGTGATGAAGGAGGAAATTAGCTGTAGAGACCAAAAGTTATGTATAATTGAGGGTGTGTCGCTTTGAGTGACAGGTGGGCGAGCGTATGATTGCCACAAACTGGCATGCACCGAAGTCTCAGCTCCACACCCGCCCCACCTCTTTCCCCATTGTTGGATTAGTCGGGAGTTAGGGGCGGAGTCAGGCATTGCCAAAATGGCGACCGTGGAGCAGCCCACTCTGAGCTTCAAAACCGCTCTTCAGAGTGATGCCACGGAGGCTATGTCCATCTTTATTTACAGTTAATGGTGAAAATCTCAAAATAAAGAAAAACTCTATTTTTTTCTACTTTTGAACAGCAGTGTGTAAATCAATAGTTTAACTGTTTGCTCATTATTGATTGATTTGGGCTTGCTGCATGTTTCTGAGGCTTTATTTACTGATGTATCGTGTTCAGATAAACTGTGTCTATATACAGTGATTAAGTGTTATGTCGAGGACTAGTTAATAGGTAATAACAACCAGTGTAAATGATTATATGAAGACTTTATCACAACTGAAAAAAAAATGCATTTAAGTAGCTTCAGTAGGAGTGGACATCTCTTCACGTAAAAGTACACTGACTTTACCATTGATGTAGGTCTGCTCATGTAGCTTGGTGATGCTCAGCAGGTCTGCCCCCTGCTGCTGGCAACTGATCCGAGCCTCGCTCCATGACAGCGTAGCCTGGAAGTTAAACTGGTAACAGCTGTCTGTCAGTGGATCAGTATCCCAGAATGTCTCGCAGCCGCCGCCTGACAGTGAGGGGAAGAGAGAAAGATAAGGGGCCAGTTAGGCCAGAGGAGAAAGCAGGAGGCAAAAAGAGTTAAGTGGGAGGAAACTGTGGGGAGGCTGATTGAGTTTCTGGCAACGTTTCCAGTGAGCTGAGTGGTTTAAACAACACCGTGCTGAACTTGAAAAGTGATGACTCACTCTTGACTGGGCAAAACCCCCATCGCTCGTCCTTGCCATAGTCGAAGGTGGTGGCGCACCAGAGGTGACCATCCTCACGCCCGATGCTGGTGCAGCTGTGGAACCACTGGCCGTCATACAGGAAGGGCAGGTAGCAGGAGCGGCCGTGAGAGTTCCCCTGGATCGTATAGATCTCTGGCAAAGAGCAAAGAGAGGGGAGCCTTTAAACCCCTGCATGTGGCAGCAGAGCTGTGCCTCGTGTGTGTTGTCTAAAGTCAAGGCTGCACACTGCGCTGAACTCAAATACCTTATCTGTTTTCTCAGAAACTTGTGTAATCAAACAGAGGGTGGAAATAGAGGATGATGTTCCAGTCAAAACAACAAAGTCCAATAGTGGTCAGCAGAGGGAAGAGTAAACAAATAAAAACAGCTGTTATTAGGAAAACTACGTAACTTTTATGGTGAACTTTACGTGAAAACAGAATCAACAGCTATGGACTTAGAAAAAAACTGAAATGTTTATTCTCCAAAGCAAAGATGTTGAAGTGATAAAATGCAGTTTTTAGGGCAGTTTAACTAATAATCTGTATCTGATTTCTGCAGTTTGACAAAATACCCTGAGGTTGCCGTTCTACAGGAGTCTCTACTTTCCACCAGTCTAGTATGGTGTGAAGAAAAGGGCAACAGTGAGAGAGAGAGAGAGAGAGAGCGAGAGAGAGAGAGAGAGAGAGAGAGAGAGAGGGAGGGAGAGAGGGAGAGAGGGAGAGGCTGGATCTGTAGTGTTACCAAAACAAGTTAGGCCAATGGAAAGTAGGGCAGACATGTTAAACGAGGGAGGAAAAGATTTCTGAAGCTCCCTCCCTGACTTCCCTCTTCTCCACTCCACCGCTGTCTGGCTTCAGTGGAGCTGCTTCGCCGGCTGACTAATGTCAGAGGTATTCTCCTCTCCAGCAGCAAGTTGACTTCACAAAGAAACTTGTGAAGATCGGCACTTGAAAGTTAAAAAATGTCAATGCAACCCAATTCCCTTGCCACACAAAAAACAAAAAAAAAACAGGAGACTTAGGAGAGGAAGGATGAAGAAGAAAGTAAAGCGGAGATTTTCTGGTCTTACGTTCATGTCAGAACTGGTTTTAATTGCAGTTGAGCAGAGCCTGTTAACTACAGACTCGTACGTGAGCGGCACAGTGCAGTCTGTCAACAACCAACCGTGACATTTGATATTGGTAAGAGCGGCACTGACGGCGGAAATGAGGCTTAGCTGCAAACCACCCTGGTCGGATTTAATCGGGACTGAAAACTATATATAAATAGAACTATACTTGAGGGAAGGGACGACTCTGTATGTTTACTGCAGTTTACAAACACCGGCTATGTTTTCCTTGGCTTTCTGACTGGCAGACATCCACTTGTCCTAAAAGATTCCCTAAAAGCAACCATTTGATCAGATACAGCTGTGGCATCCACAACAGCGGGTCTGTCCGCCGCACTGAGGCAGCAAAACATACAGTGGAGGAGCAACTGGGTCACTACAGCTGGGGAGATGAGAATGAGTTGCAGACTCTTTGAATGGGCGCAACATCTGTGATCTCATCTCTGATTTTTCGTATATCATTCTATTTATTATTTATTTCTAAATAGTTTTGTCTTAGTTTTGTTTCTAGGTTCATCCATCTTTGGACTAATGAATGTGATCACCTCCCTGTATAATAGAAAATCATTTACAGACTTGATTAGCCAAGTACGATACATTAAGTGTGTGTATCTTGTATGTTTGTATGTATCCATTGTATTTTCTATATAAAATTAAATGTTGCTCAAGATTAATGGTTTGAAAAGTGAAGGTACTTTGCATGAGAAAGAATGGCAAGAGGTAAAGACTCTACATCAGTCTGAGGAAGCCTTGCCATTCAGATGGGAACTACTTTGATTATGCTTACCGCGATATGTCTTAGCACACAGGTCCTGCACACCACCATACACAGTCCATTTGAGATTGGAGGGGGGGGCGGTTGAGGAGGAGTTCCAAATCGAGGGCGAGGGAAGGTAGTTGTTGAGGTTGTCCAGCATCTGGCCACAGCTCCAGGTCCAGCGCACTCTGGGCGGCTCGCGGTCACAGGTGTACACACCCAGAGGAGACCTGTCCGATCTGGAGGTGAAGTTACCCGTGGTCACGCCCAGGCAGAGCGAGGAGCCCAGGTTGAACAGACGCCCGCGGGTCACCCACTTCCAGCGCTGGTTGGCTTCCTCACAGGAGGCTGACAGGATGAGGGAGTGATCCTGCACCCCCAGGCACCCTCGGGTGCCCTCATGGAAGAAAGCAAAGTCGTCAGAGTCCAGCGGCGCTGTGCAGAGAGAGGGAAACAACGGCATTAGTCGATCGTGCTGATGAAAACAGGATCCCATGTTGGCAGCTAGTGTGGCAAGAGATGAGGTCAGGGCCTGGATCAATATCTCCAGTAATAGATGCAGTGCTGGGTTATATCGACTCTGAGTCCTCCCTGTGTAATACACATCAGTGGTATTAATCCTCTAATAATCCTGTAATAATCCTACAATCCTGTATAAACATTATATGACAGGGGTCTCAGCAGGAACTAATTGAAATGACATGCAGTTAACTGTGAAAAGTGCTCGCACATGTTTTTAATGCAAGGTTAGCAATTACAGTTGAAGTATTTCACCAGGTCTCAAGAATTCACCCTGTTTAACCTGGACTGGCCTCTCTCCCTGTTCAGTCTGAGGTGTCTGGGTCTCCTGGTTGTGACCACAGAGAGAGAGCAGCTGTTGGTGCATTTGGGGGATAAATATATAATGACACTTATCACGGGAATCTGTAGAGTGACTCACACGTGTAACTGAACGTGTTAACGGGTCTAAATTTGATTAATATGACGAAACTGTAATGATCCTCGGGGGGTGAAATGGGGAAGTGTTTTCAGCCTGCTGACTTCTCACTACTGTACACTGATGTCTTTATAGGCTTCACTGCAGTATGATTCTCCGAGGAGCTGTATCTGTTTGCAAGGTGTTACCCACAGAGCCCTACATTATTCTCATACACATCTCCTACATCCAAAATAAACAAAATGTTAACGAAAAAGAAAGAGTCACTGAAAAAAAATAAAAAAAATAAAAAAAACGTGTTGAACTTAACACATCCAGAGCAGAGGCTGGACGCCAGACGCAGTGACTGGAATTTCGGGAACAAAAACCCAACACCCTTTCTCCAAAAAAACTATGTGGTTTTGCTTCACTTCTGTTTTTCTTTTTCTTTTTTTCTTGAAGGATTTAGAGATTGGTAACCACGAAGCCAGGACTGTGAATGTGCTGGTGTGTGGTAGCGAACGTGTGTGAAGGTGGGAGAAAGAAGAAAGACAAAGATATGCATGTTAGGAGTGTAGGAGTGACTCTAAATTAAAACTGCTTTAAAAAAAAAAACAAAAAAAAAAAACATATCCCCAAAATACACATGAATCTCTTCTCTGAGACCTGTGATTCAGAGGAGAGACAGCGAGAGAGCCTCAGCATTCCTCCTTCGGCGGGCTCCTGTGAGAGGCCAGGAAGTGGGGTAGGTGGGAAAGATCACTGGGCATTTGGTTGAAAAACACGACTCTCACATGTGGCGACTTGAGCCCGCTTGAATCCCTCGTTTCCCCTACCTCTCAGCTCAAATGCTCTGCACCTCCTGCGCTGCCTTTATGGACACAGAGACAATGGAGTCTCATGAAGAGCCCCATAAAAATCCCTGTAATCTGGAGGAGACGACCGACACGCCCCTTTTCTCTTGCACTCTGGCTCTGTGGTTTGGTTTCTCAGAAGCAGTGTTAGCTCATTCGGTCGGTAGCAAACACAGTAACAGAGCGGTCCAGCATAAGTTTGAAAGCGCTGTGTGTGTAATCAGATATAATCACCACCCTGATCTTTTTATAAAGCCATCCATCTTACAGTGAGCAACACCCAGCTGTTGGGCCTGTTCTCTACCAGTTCATTGTTTTAATCATGAAAGAGTCGAATCAGAGTGGGTGTGTTGTCTAACAGGGACACCAAATCCTTTAAATCCTGTTCGGAGAGCTTCAAAACAAACTATAAACCTACTGTAACAGAAAACATCTCGGCTGCCGCTGTGACAAAACTATCTTTCCATGAGGCTGTTACTCTGGATCATTCATCCAGAGCTGGATGAAATATTAAAAAATGCAAGCAAAGACTTGTTACTGTGGAAAATCACTGTGTGGTGGATCCACTGAGTCCAAATGTTTCAAGGCAAAAACATCACTGATCTCCGCCAGATCGACACCTTCTCGAGCTCTCTTCAGCTCAGATTAAAAAGATAACAATTCACTTCATTATTGATAATCATCAGAAAATAGTGAAAACTTTTCTATCAGTTTTTTTGGTCTGCCCGGCATCATCAATGTATCAGAAACTGATACAGTTTCAGTTTACTGTCACAGAACACAAAGAAAACCAAGTCGATTGATGAGTTGATTGATCAGCTAATCGTTTCAGCTCTTAAAATCACAGAGAACATGTTGCGTTATCCCTCAGTGTCGTTCATTTTAACCATCTAAGACAGAATTTCTCTCCGTGTGATCTCTGTCACAACAACCAATAAAATCCCATGGCAAGTAAAAACCATGTTGATACTTGATTAGCTGGAGTTACATAAGGCTGACTGGTCCACCAGGCGACACGCACACATGCTAATAAATCTCCATTGTGTCATTTTCACAATGGGAATGAAACAGACCACAGAGTCGGCTTCACTGGAGCCCGTGGGAAGATTTTCACACCAGACCAATCCCAGTAAAAAAAAAAAAAAAAAAAACAGCAATACATTGTGTGTGTGAGTGTGTGTTTGAATCCACTTCAGTGTGTGAATATAAACTCAATATTAATATGGTGACAATATGAGAAGTTCCAAGCAAAAAGCTACAGAGCCACTAGAGGACCTGAGGCTGAAGTTCCAGACAGCAAGAGGCGAATTCAAAAAGAAGTTTTAATTCCAGTCTGGAGGGGACACGACGGGATGTTTGATGTGAGAAAACTCTCGGGCAATCAGAGAGAGTGCAGAATTCCAGATTAACTTTAAGCCATTGAGCCCTGTGAAAGCTAAGCCACAACAGCTCTCCTGCTGTGATCTCATCCTCTTCTTTGCCCTGTCACCCCTTTTTTCAACGCTGGAGACAGTTTCCTGCTGAAGAGAGAGAGAGAGAAAGAGAGGCTGAAAAACTCACGGCCAAGAACAACCGGCGATGCTCGCCAAGAGAGGCAGATATTCCCAGAACCTCCACCTCCTCAATACGGTCATGTGTTGGACCAGGTTTGAGGACAGTACTGAGGAATGTAACTGATTAATCAATAGCAAGCTTTTGCTTGAGATATTGTGTGAGCACAACAAACTTCTCGCTGTCTGACTGGTGGATGAGTGTGACTCATTGCCAGGTAATTAAAACTAAATAGATTTTTCCATTCATTTGTTTTACTTAACATATATCTAAAGATCTGAACTGAAGTATGAGCAGAAGGGGTTTTCCATAACATTTTACTATTTTGACAGATGTCTGAGATAAGGAAAAAAAGCTGTTTAACCAGCCAGTGTGATAAAATGGCAACCAACAAATAGGCAGGAAATTCCAGCCTGCTGTGTTTGTTTCTTTGGTGTTTTATGGTGGTCCGGCCTCCGAGGCAACACAAGCTGAGGATAGGTTTTTACCTCATCCAAGAAGCACGGGAGAGGAGACGGAGAGGGGGTCCATCGGAGGAAATGGCATATTTGCATTTTGCAGCCACACTCAGAAACAGAGCTAACTGGAACATTTGGGGAAAGTGCACCTCAAATTCAGAAAAACCACAGCGAGAGTAAGTGCACGCTGTCGAAACTTTCCATCGCTCCCACACTCCTGCACAGTGTAATGGAGGTAACGACGGATCACACTGCAGGTAATCAGAAGTGAGGTCAGAGATACATGCAAATCAGCGGTTAAGCTGGAGCAGTGCTAAATGAGAGCAGTGTGAGATAATGAGCAACTTACTGTCTGGGCACTTAAGAACAACACAGCAGCTGAAGAGTCACTGTCATCCCACAGAGTTTGAATCTTAGAATAGACTCCATCCTGTTGCAGTTCTGTCAGTATTGAAGCAGGGAAAAATATCTGAATCGTCCATGAATGATCCTGAGTATCATCACTGCCACAGTTCATCTTTCCTCTACTGTTTGCGACACACATATCAAGGTGACGAGACGCTGTGCAGGACAAGACCAAATCTCATTTCTTTTTAATATCACACGGTGCAAGGAAGTTCATGACAACACGCTGAGCTGCTCCAGATCAAACGATATTTTCACTGTTAAACTCTGGCGGGTGGAAAGTGAAAAACAATTCACGTAACAAATCCAGAGAGACAACATTTCATAAAACAAATCAACAATTCCTTCTATCCTGTCGCATCTCATCTGTTCTGGTCACAGAGTGATTGAAAGGAGATTCTCAACTTCAGCAACAGGGGAAATCTGACAGCAAATGAGTGCAAGTCATTTTTTCTTTTTTTTTAAATTAGGAAAGTCGGCCTCGGCAAAGAGAGCAACAGATTATTTAGGTTGTGTTGGGTGTAAACACACATAATGTCAGTATTTTAATCAAACAAAAATGAGGTAAATTAATTGATAGTGTCCTGGGCCTCATGTGATGATACACGAAAACGCATTGTAGTAACTTAGTAAAAGGATTCAATTAAAAATAGATTAGAAAACAGGTGGTTAATCATTTTCCATACGTCTGTCTGTGTTATGGTGGCCAGAGACCCAGGTTTTACAATATTCAGCAAACAATTAAATCATTTAATACTGACTACTTATATTCTCTGTCTATATATCTGATTATCCATGATGAAAAAGAAACCATGCAACTACTTCATAATCTCATTCACTGTCAGCGCAGCAAAAAAGTCACTGACAGGAGAGTGAAGTTGATGAACTCTGACTTCCAAGCAAAAGCAGTGGGAATAATAATTATGTGGCCATAACACAAAAGGTTGATTGATCGTACGTACGTAAAAGAAAACGTCAATCTAAACGTCAATCTAATCTGTACAGCAAAACATTGTTAGGGTGGGTTTACCCTACACACCATCCCATAACATGTAATGGAGTGGTAGCTGTTCAGGACTGGACTGAACGTGTTAATTGCAGCCTGTAACAGGATGTAAAGGTCACGTCTGCCCTCAGGTTGCCCAGTGAAGCGTCACACCGCGTCACTTTTACACTGCTGCCTCAAAATAACAACTCATCCGCCACAAAAATAGAACACAAAGCCGAAAAAGTGCGTTGCTTTGGGGCTTTAGATAAACTTTATGCCTAAATTCAAATC